TATGAGTATATATAAGAGGTCAGATAGTCTTGTTGACCTTATGGTTACATGATTAACACGTGATTTATACATGAATGAGCTTCAACTTTGATGATATGTATCATCTGATGGATGAAAGCTCAGCCCGTTTTCACTCAAAACGAGGAAAGAGGTCTCGTAGACTGCGTCAACCTGAACCTCGTTTTAATGCCAAACAGCTACCATACAACAGGATTCAGCTGTCGTCTTCTGGCGAGGTCAACTTACGAATCTCTTCCCCACGCGCTTTCATACGAAATGAAGGTCTGCCCAATAAGGGCAATGTCACTTAAAAAAGGCTGTCTTGGTCAAATTAATGATGGTATATGTAATATAGAATGTTACTTGCAACGACTTATGTCGTTCTCATACATAAGTGCTGTGAAACACACATCGAATGTAGAGGACAAATGCAGATTCACATCAGTATTTGCTTAAAAAAGCACTTTTAGAAATGCATTTATTTCAATCCTCAACTTGTTGATATATGTTGGGAGTTATGATTTCCGTTTTCAGTGTCATCCAGTTGGAGTACATTTTTTAAGTATGCTTAGCTCATTAATATGTCCTCTAGATTTAGGAGACTTCAGCATGTTTAGACAGCATTCATTTATTCCTAGGCATGATAATCAAGATTATATGGTCTCTATTTTTGTAGCACTGGTCTTTCCACAATTTCCCTATTTGGCCATGTTGTCAGGACGACCACAAGTGGATGTAATTGCCTTTATGGTCATGACCATTTGACCATGGGCATGGTGCATTCTCAGGCGTCTCACTGGCATCGCAGTGGGCAGTGTCGATGAGCCTTGTCAGTCTTATCACCGAGCTACAACTCGTCAAAGAGAGAGACGATGTCTCACCCTTGGCCAACCTTATCTGAACATGTATATTTAACCATCTCACTCCCTGACTATCTCATGCCCCAAATTGTTTTACTAAGCTACTCCAGCAACACGCTTGTCATAAGCAGATTTAGTGAGGCTACTCGCACAGTCACAGTTGACTTCCTCTCCCCTGGGAAAGATAAATGGATCAGGACAGGATGAGAGATGTCGCAGTCGCTCTGCCGAAAGCTTCATATGAGGTGAACTTCGCGTGAATAGCAAGGCTCAATGACGATGCCGCCTACGTCTGTGAAGGCACCAAGTCTATGAACAAAAGCTGGAAATTAGTATGCCCCCTGTCGCATAGGACGACGGCCAAGGTACATTATTCGAGCCCAAACTAAAAACATGAATAAGTTACTAAAGTGAGGTCAGACCACTTCTAAAATTTATTTATCTTGATAAGTTAATTGAGGGAACAAAAGAATGAGGGGATGGGGAGCTGAGATTTATTGTAAAAGCCATTTGTGAAAAATAAAATTGACTAGTTACCGAAGCCGAAAAATGGCGGCACCGACAACATTAATGACCAAAGCCACGAGGCGATTATCATTCCTATTGCTCGCGCATAGGTGAGGGTTTTAAGGGTCTGAAAAGGTTGAGCAATCACGAAGAAACGGTCGACCGAGATAAAGGCCAGGCTGAAAATGGAATTGAAGCCGAGCACTCCACCTGCGAAACCGTAAAGCTCACAGGCTGGTAGAATTGAAAAAAAGGTAGAAATGTACGAATTTTAAAAATAGAATAATCTTTCTTAAATTCACTTACACCAAAGGCTAATGAAACTAGTAAAGTATTGTTATATTTATGCCAAACTGTAGACTTAAGTAACACCTCTTTTACTCTTGGATAAGTATTGTATCCTATCCCGATAAGTGTACGTGAAGGGCAGCATAGAACATTTTCATTTAGACCTGAGCTTATTTCGAACCAATGCGCACCATCTTCTTTCTTTTGGGTCAGCAAAAGATTTCGTGATTCGCACTCAGGGCTCCTGGTAGCTATCGGAGCAGTCATCAGTTTAGGCCGAATAGTGCCCAACTCCAAATAAATCTTTTAAGAATATCTTTAATTGAGCTGTACTTCACAAAATATTGCCTCCATTTCCTTTTTAAACTGAGGCATCACTGAGGTTCTAAGTGTTGTTAAAACCTGCAAAGCCAACATATCTTGATCTACAAACGGGCATTCTTTTATGGGGCCTATTGAGAATCCCATAGATGGTTAAACTGTCTCAGCAAAGCTCGACGATAGACACGACGTTCCTGGTAGATTTCTCTCAAATGATCTTAAATTTTACCTCCATCATCTCTACATTCATGTAACAGAAAGCATGCCTTCTGATCAGCTGATACCAGCTCATTGCCAGCAGTATTCACGCCATTTTGACATGAAATACCAAAGCTGCATAAGTTTTATTAGTTGATCTATCTTTTGGCAAACGAAGATGCTGGAAGCATCACGGAGGCATGTAGGTGTCTAAAGAATGGTTATACTAAGATGCTTAATATGCAATATAGCATCTGCTTAGCCGGGATTCTCCTGTACTCAATAAATTAAAGCTAGATTTGAGACTTACCAAGCTTGCCCCAGCCCCAACGCATATTAAAGGACGCGATCGTCTTCAGCGGAAAGCCATTTATTGCGGCAAATGACATGTCGGAAACAGCCAAATTGATAATTAACATGTTGGTCGGGGTTCGCAGAGATTTAGTGCTTAAGAGAAATAGATTGTTTGAAAGACTTAAAATTGTTGTTGAAAAAGTAATTATTTCTAGTGCAAGACTAAGCAATATATCAGCATGCATGCCGATTTGCTTCGGAGGTTAACATAGGGAAAATGGTTCTTGCAAGAAAAGATGTTATGTACAAGCACTGGATAAAGCGAAACTTAACTGTGCAAAATAATTGTGAGAACAAGTACTTACGATAAAAAGACATAAATGACGAGCATATTTCCCAATAACCCAAAAATCCCTATAACCGCAATAAATATTCCAACGAGATAATGGTAGAGTGGGCTGGTTGGGGGGAAATTTTTCCAGTGGGGATGACTAAATGGCTCCAGCTCAGGATCAAAATACCAGAAGGTTTCGTTGTATTGGATTGACATCGCAAGCCGTCAATAGGAGCAAGTGTACCACTATTTTGCCAATCTTCTGCTCTCAATCAGGCAGACGTACCTAGTAAAGAGTGACACCGGAAAGAAATGAATGAATAAGCATAAAGTATACCAAATCTCTTGATTTAAAAACTCCGCATTCAGCAGAGTCCTTGCTTAACGGCAAGATTTTCGGTTGGTTGTCAAATAATTGCCTTACCTCTAGGCGATTTTCATCTTGTAGCGCAAGTCAATCCTTCCATTTTTGAGTCCGCTAAACAGAAGTTCCATAAATAAAACAATTATATCTTTAAGTTATATTCATGAACATCACGTCTACGGCTGTAACTTCAAACATTTGCATCAATTTTGCGTCCAAATCACATCAAATAACACTGTGACAAACGGAAATCTCAACAAGGATGAAAACATTCATGTTTATTTCCAGAATAACACTTGGAATCGTTTTAGTATGATTACCCTCTACCATATTCCCATATTTATTATTACTCTCTAGACAGCTTATATAGACGAGATGAAGGGAAACTGCCGGAAAGCTACCAAGAAAAAGATTATCAAAATGTGCAAAACGCTATAGATAGCTGTCCATGATATTGAATCCGATGGGATTGCTTTTGGTGAACATTGTAATCGCATGTAAAAGTAGCGAGAAGTGAAGATCATATATCCTTTACGTAAGAGTTGAGAATTCAGTGTTCAACACTAGTTTGTAACCAAATAACCCAGCATTTTCATGAATTTATATGCACAATGATTTGATTGATGCTTATTTTAGAGAAAAATGGGACGTTCTTAGCATCGGAATGGAGTATGATAATTTCTATTTTGCATTAATAGGCAGAACTTTGCTTCTCTTATTTGCAAATAAGGTAAATTGGCTTTTTCACATCATACACAAAGGTGGGACAAGTTTCGTTCAGAGAAGCGGTCTTCTGAGGCATCTTGTGGTGGATCACGAATAAGGAAATAAGCAGAGTTCTTTGTACGTACAGTTATGTGAATTGGTATATGAGTATACAGAGTGGAGAAAAACTAGTATGGCACTTTCCTTAAGTTATGTTTATCCTATTTCATTTAAGCTGATGAAGTACTGGTAGTTGAACTTTCCCACAATGATATGAAAATAGTTGAATTTTCCATTTAATTTCATATAAGCTTGCTTTCCCAAAAAGTGTTCTCATCTGGAGTGGATTGCAGTTTCGGCCTCACACGGGAGTCAAACCATGACAGTGCCGTGTGTAATCTCAACACGTAAACCACTACGCCACATTGCGACGAGTGCTGTTGGGTCACAAGGCAGATGTGAATTTCAAGGAAGGCCAGGCCTTTTCCCATTTCCCATTTTGTGAGGGAATCGTCCACGAAGCAAAGTTGTATTTGCTATAGCAATTGACGGCATAGCATGAGAACATCTTTGAAGAAGAAAGGCTGTGTGAGTTTGAGCGGAAACATAAGGCCCATTCATATGATAGTGGGAAAATGCAACTACCAGTCCTTCATCACCTCAATGCAATAGGGTAAATACTATTCTTATAATAAAAGCTTAGTCGAGGTCGCTTAATGCCATGCGAGTTTCTCCGACAATGGAATGGGTAAACTCAATAGGGTCATCGAAATTCGCTTAACTCTTCTTCTCAAGAGGTTCAAGTAACGGAACTCTCAACTCAGTCGTGCAAATCATAACATTGTGAATAAAAACTCGAATATGAGCCGAGATGCAGTTGTCAGTTTACTCGAGGGCATGAAGATTAAGGTGATTTTCCATCTCGTTTTCGCAACTTGATCGTATCGTTAGAAAGATAAAGATTTCTCTAGTGCTATTGTATTAATTATTGAGGGTCAAATTTTGCTTTTTCTGAGTAGATGAATGGGGTTGTTAGTATGTCTTCGCAAAATGATGAATTCTGGCTGGATCACTATTTACGTATGTTGAAAATAGCAAACGTATATAAGTAGAAGTAGGCTGACCTCATTTTCGCAACTTGGTCTTGTTGTCAGGGCGATTTAGTAGAACGGACCTAGTTGGAAGTCGTCTGCCATCGTAGTTGTCATGATTCCCAGCATTAGACAGTGGACTTGGTACATTCTTAAACGTTTCGCCAGCATCATCAGTGAGTGTTGTCACTCTCCGCACCAAGCTACGAACTCGTCAAAGAGACAAAGGAAGTCTATACCTCGGCCAACGTTCTACCGAAAACGGTGACACTATCACTTCTCTTTCTGTCTACGCCTATCTATCTACTCTTTAGCCTCTTATCCCACTGCCGCCCTATTACAACTTCACGCTTATTTACATTCCACTCGTCAAAATGTGTGCCCTTTTGTGGCAAATCTAATGTGTCCTCATCACACCTGCTATTCAACCCGACCCCCTCTCTTTCGATTGGCTGATCCGACTCGGGCCTCCAATCCGGATCCCTTAATTGTCTCGTGGATCCGTTCCTTCTCTTCTGGTTGACTGATTTCACTCCGTTCCAGTCCCAGTGTGCCTTTCCCTCCAGGCGCTATTTCTCAAGGCCCTAGAGACACGTACACTGCGAACTCACCGAGCAGAGCGCTTAGGCTCTGATTGCCATGCTTGCAGATATCAGGCCTTCCCTTCACGGGTCCTCTACTTGATCAGACCCATATTATCGGAGCAAACTGTGGACGCCTATCTCTGGTCGCATGCGGCATCTCAAGTTGATTTGTAGTACATTTTGGCCATAACGCCGAATTTCCGTGACGGTTTGCTTATCTGTCTGCCCAGCTCCCTGATTGCCAGGCCCCCAAAGTTGTACTGATTTCTTCGAAATGGACATCACTCTACCTTCCTCCAATCTCCTGTCCATTAGATTTTGCTCCCCAACGATGTCAATGGCCTCCCTTATCTTCAACTTCCTTGTGTTGTCACCGTATGGGGCTTTTCTTTCTGTTGCCTCCCAAATGATCTCGTGTCTAGTCTGTACGATGTGTTCAGCTAGTTATGATCTTTCGGTATCCATTTTCCTGCCAATTTTTCTCCGTTTCGCCAACATATTTCTGTTCGCAGAGGCCGCATGATATGAGGTAAACTCCTGAACAATCCAATTTGTCTACCTTTTGATGTTGCGTTGGTAGACTTGTGAAAAGTGTTGATTTCTCCTTCATGGCCACCTGAATATTCCATTTACTCAATATTGGCCGTTGTTTTTGACTTAGTTTGCAAAAAGGTAGGCATATTTTAACAACATCGATGAACAAATATTTGTACTTCCCATGGAATCGCCGCTCTCACCACTTTTGGCAAGCGTATACATGAACAGGAGATTAGATGAAGGTAAGGTTAGCGATAACTTTGCCAACTGCCTAAGCAAACTCGGGGAAAACAAGAATAAAGCAAGACCAGCAAAAAGAAGACGCCTGGATCAAGGATCTATCGCTAACCGGAGGAAAAGGGATCGCGATGTAGAAAGTGGGGGGCGAGGAGTTTCGGCAATAAAGCGAATACGTTGTCAGTCAGATTTGCCAAAAAAGGGCACACATTTTGACGAGTGGAATGTAAACAAGTGAGAAGTTGTGATAGGGCGGGAGTTGGATAAGGGAGTAAAGAGTTGATAGATGGACCATGACAAGAGAAGTGAGAGTGTAACCGTTTTCGGCAGAACGTTGGCCGAGAGATTGACTTACCTTGTCTTTCTAACAATTTGTAGTCTGGTGCTGAGACTAGCAAGGCTCATTGACGATGCCGGCAAAGCGTCTGAGAATGCAACAATCTCAAGGTCCGACATTGGAAAGTATCATGGTTGCTATGTCATAGTACCTCGAACAGGATGCGGTCATATAGTTCGCCCTGACAGCATGTCCAAATTAAGAAAGCCTAGTGCTAACATGAAAATTCTACAAGAACGAATTCCAGCTCTGACGATGTCCATCATATAATGGACAAAAGCTTGGCTCATTTTCACCCTAAATGTGGTAGGGTATGTCGTAGACAGCATCAACACAAAACGTCGTATTAAAGCCAAACGGCTGTAGAACAACAATAATCGGCCTTTGTCTTTTCACGAGATCAACCAACAAATCACTTCATCATGTACTTTCATACGAAACGAAATTGTCCCCACAATGTCATGCTAAGATATGCGTCGAAGCTTACATACTCTTCTTATCTACACGTCTATACAGTTCCTATTTGCAACTGACGTAAAATGATCAGGCCTGAATTCATCATTTTGTAAATAAATATTATCAACTTCGTTCATGGAGGCCGACGAAGTCAAATGTGATAATATTCAATCGAAGTAAGAATGCTAGAAAAAACAACATTTCATAAAAGGTTTCCTGCCAAGTCTATGACTCTGGTACAACTTTGCTGTTCATTATGACACAGTAACGTGAATATATATCTAGCACACCGTCACGCCTTACAATGGGAACAGAAAGTAACATAAATTCGCATGTGTGACTTACCCAAAACAGGAGGTATCGTAACAGTATGCCGAGTTTCTGACCGATACGGGAGAAAGTGACCGGTGGGGCAAAGGCAACCTTCTATAAGCCAACGTGCTGCATCACTGACGCAGCTTTCTCATTACAAGATTGTTCTTACCCTTTTAATCGTAAGCCAATTTACAACGAGTACACCGTCGCACAGGCAGAAGTCTACTTACTTGCTACAAGCGAGTCAAGTCGAATAGGAGAAAATTACTCTGGTCCGACGGATTAACCATTCAACCGCCTGTCGTTCAGCTTCTGCCAAGGGGGCTAATTAGTGAGGCTATAAGATTACCAAGCCAAGTGCTAACAAGGCATACTGAATGTCCACTTAATCGGGCAGGTAAGATGGTGATAAGTAGTAAAGCAGGCAGCACATAATACCTAATAGGGAGAAGATAAGGCTTACCAGAATGCATACCGAAAGGACAACATTAACTACTTTCACCCCGTACATGGGAGTAAAAAAGCTATCTTATTGGCTCCTGACGCTAGTTTCACACAGAACACCTGCGAGAAGGCATTAGAAATTGATA